GCTGGATGCACTGACGGAACACCTCATCTCCAAGCGCCCACTGCTCCCTGGTAACACGATTCCGCATGGCGACGTCGCTGGGCTTCTCCTGCAGAAGGCTGTCCTTGAGCTTTTGCATCAACATCGCCATCTCCGCATCGAAGGCTGGCAGGATGCGCGACTCGTAGTACACATTCGAGTGGTGGAGTAGTCATTTTTTTGATGGGGTCGTGACCCCCGAACCCGGCAAGCAGCGCGTCCACACCCACCTCGAGCTCATCGGCTGCTAGGATCTTCCTGTAGTGGTACTGGTACCACTGTCCGATTTTCTACATAGAAGCCTCAGTAAACATCTCTCAAGCCAGGATTGAGGGGAAAAACAAAACCCACCATCCGCAGCTCCCGAAGGTAGACACCCTTTTCCTCAGTGTCGTCCGTCGGTGAGACGAACACTTTTAAATCACCCTCCGTAGGACCAGGGGTTTCGCTCTCAAAGTCCAAACTGCCCTCACCATGCTTGGAGAACTGAGGATCCCACCCCGCCTTCACAATGAAATGTTTGGCTTGCATGGTGTAGAAGTTGTCAGGATCATCTGCAGCATCGAGCCAATCTTGTTTGTACCGCTCCATGAACACGAGCTTTCGGCCAACGACCCAGCCGTCTTGACCCTACTTCTGCCCTTGCTCGGCTTTTCTGTCGCGCTTGCGCTTGGCGGCGACACGTTCAACAGCTTTTCTTGGCCATTGTGTGACGGTGCCGTGGATTTTAACAGCAGAAGACGCGACAGTACTGCCGTAGAAGTGCGGTGACCAGAGTCAAGTCAATAAAGATTATTCCCAATCGGGTCTTTGTTGATTTTCCCACACCCTAGGTCAAGAGAACGTAGAGCCCAAAAAAAAAATCAAATTTGAAGCTGCCAGTACAAGAACTAAGGACCAGGTAGCGAGTACACAATGTAGCAAATACACAAGATGTCCGTTAGAGATTCTCAAAACAAAACAAAACAAAAAGAGGACACCAGAGAAGCCATGGCAAAATTCACTGCACAGCTCGGTGCAAGTGCGCGTACTTGTCATCCCTGCGGTAGACCAGCCCGCCCCAAGCAGCACCCATCATGCGCCACTGCTTGGGGTTCTCCTTCCATGACTCCACCTCCGACACAATGTCGTCGGTGTTGTACCTCGAGTAACTTGCCTCCTCCAGCTCCAACGCCTCTTCATCAAGTGATTCGAAAGATGACAACGACCCCTCCCACTCGCCTCCTGCCGCCTGCGCCTCCAGCCGCACGACGCGCTGCCGCAGACGGGCGACCTCCTCCCATTGACACAGCTCATACGCCTCCTTCACCACCCACCGTTGTCAGGCTCGATCCTGCTTCTCGTGCTCCCGTCGCCACCGCTCTTCTGCCAGCTGCTCCTGATGCGCGTCCTGCTGCGTGGCAATCCAGCGAACACGACGTCCAGCCTCCTCCCCCATCACTGTCAGCGAGAAGCCCTCCGCGAAGCACGCCGCGTCGATGAAAGAGCCCGTCGTCAACATATGCGGCGCCTACCCAGCCAGGTCAAGCTCCCCGTACAATCGATCAGCCTCCTCCAGCGACCCGCACACCAAGCCTGAGTCCTCGCCCCACCTCAGGCCATAGCTGCGAAGGCTGGGCGGTGCTGCGTGGCGGGCACGAAAAACCATGGTGGATGTCTCTGACAGCGTCAAGGTGGAGAGCGATGCGGAGAGTGACCCAATGACAGATGTCGCCACCGAGGTGTGCTGGCTCCGCGATGTCCCCCCTGAGGGCGCCGCTGCGGTTGGTGTGTTGGAGGTGCTGCAAGATGTTATGCCTTTTGGGGAGGGAGACGATGGGGACAATGCGAGGGACCGCTGGGCGACCTTGGCTTGAGGGAAACACAGTGATGCGGACGATTTGGCGGAGCGCGCAGTGGCAATCACGAGATCACGCCAATTTTTGTAGGCAGGTGCGGTGGCTCTGCGAGCGCCAGAGATGACTGAGTTTGCGCTGTTCCTGGGGAACAATTAGTTCCATAGATTTTAGCTCCCGCATGCACATCAACTCACCAAGAATTGTATCCCCAGCCTTCTCCCGCAGCGTGGGCCCTGTCGCAAGGTAAAGCTTGGTCGCTCCACCCTGAGTGTCTGCCGGGTTGTCGGGGTGCCAGGGAGGCAAACATCGATAGAGACCATCCAAAGTGCCGTGAGGAAGCGTTGGTTCCATGTAGACAGTACAGGGGGCAGGAGAGCCAAAGGCGTAAGAATGAGAATGGATTGCAACTGTTTGGCAAAAGCCTTCATGTCTTCCTGATTTGCCCATGTCCCACCATGACACCACCTCTGCCGCACGCTCCCTTGACCGTGATCAGCCCGACGACCGCGCAGAGGACCCTGAACGGCTTGCCCTCGTTCTCTACCATGTGTCCTCCGCCCATCGGTTGCCCCTCCCCGCCACGCGTATCAGCATCCTTGATCAGGCTTCAGCTATGGAGGTGGCATCCTCTCTCATCCGGCGGAGGACGGGCCTACGCGGTGCCAGCGCGCTTCGTTGCAATACCCATAAAATTGTGATGTCAAGTGCAACCAATAGGAATGTCTGTCCTGCCAGCCCACAAAAAGAGCAGTTGGCCGAGATGCCCAAAGGCTCTAGGATGACGCGGTTGAGCTGGAATTTCACGACGGTGCAGCCATAGATCAGTAACGGTTGTAGCTGAAGAAATAATTGGCTAATTCTGCAGTAAAATTCATCAACAACCCACGACGGTCAGGCGCATAGCATCAACCATCCAGGAATGCCACTCAGGTGTGTTGACAGAGATAACCTTCAAGCCCCATTCTTTTTCCATACTTCGTCGGATTTCTGTGGACGCGGTGTAGTTCTCACCTGCCCTTGTACGTTGGAGTCCTCAGGACCTTGTGCACCGATATGCAAACAGCTCCAACACAGAACTGACACATACTGTCAACATGTTCCTGACCACCTCAGACTACCCAAAACTGACCCCCCTAGGGGCAGTTGTTACATGGAGAATGACCGGCTCTAGGGGGGTGTTTTTGAGTGGGTATCCCACATAATGTGGGACACCCCGACCAAATAGCAAAAGTGGTGTGGGCCTTCTCTCACCGATTATTTGTGGGACATCCCACCCGCTGCAGGCGGGCGCAAAAGACTTGCAGGGATGGCCCATTGCCCAAATTTGCAGCAGGACCCCAGACACCTGGCCTGCTATAAAGGTGCGGTTCGGGGCGCCCGCGGCCGGGAAAAAGCTGCATTTTGGGTGAATTTTGTGCAGACCGTATGTGCACAGCTGCAGTGCGTCCAGTGCTGGCTATTGTGCGCCTGCGGCCGGAAAAAAAGCAGCTTTTGGGGCGGAATTGCACCGAAATAGCAGCGGTATGGGTGGCTTGTATCGCTAGGTATTGGCTGCCAGATGTTGCATCCAGGCTGGTGCAGCTAGGCTGCACATTCAGCCGCTGCCAGCACGTCCACGCCGCCGCCGGTGGGGATCAGGTGAATGGTGGTGCACTCGTAGCACATCCAGCCGCTGCCGGCGGGGACTGGGCCATGGTAGCATGTCCAGGTCGCTGCCGGTGGGACTGGGTGACAGTAGCAGGTTCAGGCTGCCGCCGGCGGGATTAGGTGACGGTAGCATGTTCAGGTTGCTGCCAGCGAGATTGGGTGATGGTAGCACGTTCAGGCCACTGCCAGCGGGTTGGGCGATAGTAGCACGTTCAGGTCGCCGCCAGCGGGATTAGGCAACGGTAGCATGTTAAGGCTGCCGCTGGCGGGACTGGGCCACGGTAGCACATTCAAGTCACCGCCGACGGGACTGGGTGACGGTAGCACGTTCAGGCTGCTGGTGGTGGATGATATCACTGGTACTTGCAGCTGCGATTTAATCAAATCCCTGCACAAAAAAAAAGTGTGACAGTGTCACAGGTCCATGGGCTGTCCCATTCTCCAAGTCTGGGATGTCCCAGGTTGCAGTGGGCTGGCCCACACAGACGAGGGATGTCCCACACACCTGGCCTGATACAGGCAGGACATCCCTTCCACTTGTTGGGATGTCCCTTCCATTCGCTGGGATGTCCCTCCAAAATGCAGGGAAAAGGTGGGAGAGCCCATCCATTTTTCTGGTCAAGGACGGGATGTCCCACCAAGTTACGTGGGACATCCCATTCAATTTCTACTCTAACTCAAGGGACATCCCAGATGTGCAGTGGGAGGTCCCAGTTATTTTTACCTTTCACTGTAGGACATCCCATTACCTTCTGCACATAAGCATGGGATGTCCCTCCCATGTTTTGATTCACATATGGGCTATCCCAGTCCCTTCTGTGGTATTCGCTGGGACATCCCATATCTTATTGTTTTACTGCAAACCAAAAACACCAAGACAAACACTTATTTCCAAAGTGAAATCCATCTTAGTGGAACCAATGATATTGATCGAGGCATACAAAGACATAATCTACTTGTAGTCTATGTTACTAGACTCGTGACCAGTCTGCCACGGTATATCTTAGTGCAAGCACTTTGCCGTAGGCAGACTGGTACAACTCGGGACAACCCAAAGGACTGCGCCCGGAGTTTGAATTTCTAAGCAGTGCCGATCCGCGGCATCAAACGGTGGCTGCGCAGCGCCATCATTTCCCTTGTAAATTGGGGGTGCGGTACTCAACAACCATGGCATCCGATGTAAATCTGAACCAGCAAAAGTGAAGAAAGGATACCTTGGACTATATTCTCCCTTTGAACCTTATGGATTCGGGTGGAAATGATTGAATCTAGCCAAGAAGAAATAATTTCAAACTCCGGGCTCAGCCCTTTCGCTTAGCCCGAGTTGTACCAGTCTGCCTACGGCATAGTGCTTGCACTACAGATTTGCTGTAAAATGCAGACTGGTTACGAGTCTACTATGTTACACCCCAGTTAACTTTGACAAAAGCAAAACGTGACACTTCTAACTCAACTTCACCGACGTGAGAAAAAAAAAATGTTTTACCTTCTTTGCAATGGCTGAGATGGGATTCGAACCCACGTCATCTGCGGTAATCTATACTGTACTCCGGAAATTAGCACAGCGGTGTTACCATTACACAACTCACTCAGCCATGATATGCACTGATGCTAGCCCCCAACTTACTGGAGTCAAATAGACACAGAGGTTTTAAAAAAACATAGGGGAAAAAGACATCCCTGGTGAAACCACGAAAAGTAAGAGCCTCTGCTTCCATGGTTGCGGCGGGATTCGAACCCACATCATCTGCGGCAAGATCATATCACCTTCAATACAAACAGAGGTGTTACCCTTACACTACACAACCGATACCCTCTGGTTAGCACATACCTACACATTCAGTCAGTACTCTACCAGGCAATGTACAAAAAAACCTGTAGTTGCCTGATATCAATTTCAACACGCTAAGCCTTGACGAGAGCAAAAAAAAAAAAGTAAGAGCGTCTGCTTCCAAGGCTGCGGCGGGATTCGAACCCACTTCATCTACAACAAAATCATGTCGCCGTTCATTATCAGTAGATGTGTAACCATTACACGACGCAACCAGGGAGGGGCAACCCGCACCGGAAAGTGTGATGTCACATGTCACGCTTTCCGGTTGGACTGGGGGAATGCTTCCCCCAGACCCCCTCTTCTTCGCTGCGCTGCCCCTTCCGCTGGCGCGGGGCCGTTTTCGCTGGCACTGCCTCTTCGCTGCTGCTGGCGCAGGGCCTTTTTTAATGTAATATTCAATTTTTTCCCTCCATTCTCTTGCTGCCCCACTTGACCCACAGATAAATTGCCACCCCATCGAATTTTGCGGAGCACCACTGCGTGGAGCATCCGCTCGATGGAGTGAGAATTTTTCTGTGGCTTGGCGTAGGGCAGCTCGAGAATTACGAGTGCAAGTTGAATTTACATGTATTTCTTGTGGTTAATGTTGCTGGGGTGGAAAACCGCTGGCGCGGGGCTCACGCTCGCCGCTGGGCCCACTGCGTGGTGCTTACGCTCGCCGCGGGGCCCACTGCGTGGAGCTAAAAAAAACTGTGTTTCGGCTGGATCGAATGCGTGATCTCTCAAAAACAAGAAATAGAGGAGGTGTAACCGCTCTGGCAAGGACACTTTTGAAAAATTTAAGATTGATCCCACTTGGGAGGTGGGGCGTTACATGTCATGTGTGACATCACACTTTCCGGTGCGAGTCCCAATTCCCGCAACCAGTAGTAACACATTGGCACATACCCTACACATTGAGTCAGTACTCCACCCGGCGATGCCACAAAAAAAAAAAAAGAGTTACCTGATGTAAGTTATCAAATATGGTTGGAGTGAGGAACTAGCTAAGTTGTCAAATAAAAGCCGGTGTCGGGTGGAACGTTACACAGCGAGACATGGCGTCAATACCACACCCAACAAATAAAATAAAATAATTCATTCAAGACATCGTGAAGAAAATCAGTGAAGTCTATAGATGTCCAAAAGTATGTAGGCTACGTTAAAGGAATACAAAAAAGCTGCGGTGTAAACCAGGCTCTACTGAGCGCAGCACCTCAATTAGTGTCCCCTGCGTCAGCCCCAACGTTGGCGCGCTGGGCGCGCTGATGTGCGGCAGCCGCAAAGTCATAGCCCGCCGGAATCTTCGGTGCGAAGACACGCACAGGGCGGACGTAAGCAGGGCGAATGGCGATAGGGGGCGAAGGCAGTGGTGAGCGCTGTGGCATGCGGAAGTCGGCCACACGAGTCCTGCTCAGATCAACGGACGAAGCCAAGACGTCCACCCATATGATACACGCTTCGGTGTATGCGGCCGTGGTGAAGCCGTGGAGGGCCAAGGCGGCATCGGCCTCGCGACAGCGCTTCTCCTCGAGCTCCTCGAGTTCGGTGGTGAGCTCCTGGTGATTCTTCGGGCACAGCAGACGGACTTCGCCGTGAGGGGCGGGGCGCATAGCAGGGACTATGTGATGTGCATCAATAACCACACACGAGAGATGAAAACGACCACGCACCTTTGTGCAACTCGCAACCCGTAAGGATAACAGCGCACACCATAGAGCCGGGAGGACATGTTCACTGGAAAATTGGATTAGCTTGAGCTCTCAATGATATAGAGCAGCGCACATTGGGTTTTAGGATGGCTTCGAAGTCATCCAGGCAGCTGTTGCTCGGAGAATACTGCCAGCATGCTTTGCAAGTGGCAGAAACGGCGACCAGGACGCCATGGTCAAGGATGGACTCACCGCAACCCCACTGAGGGATAGGGAGGCGACAAGACAGGCAGAGCGTTCCGATCGGAGGGCCGCCGCAGTTTTGGGAATGGGCTTCGAGCTCATCCGCTGTGTAAGCGTAAGCCATTCTGGGCGCATCACAGTCGACGGCGTTGATGTCGTATCGAGTCTTGGTGCGAGATTCTGCGGCGAGGCGATTCATGATGCCCACGGGCGTGCCTTCCAGGCTAAGGGGGGTGCGAGAGGTGCGAGTTCGGCCCATCGTGTACGGGAGAGAATTGATGTGTGCTGAGGAAAATCCAGTCAGCTTTAATATCCTGGACACAGACTGTGCCACCCACATTATCCACTGGAAATGGCAACTCCTGGACCGCGTGCTGAGGCTTGCCAGGCCACTCCTCCACGACGTGGGGTCGCGTTGTCTGCCACTATGTTGTGGCCATTATCCACCACAAAGGGTAGCTCCTCACGATGTGTGGCCGCGTTGTCTGCCACTTTTTCTGTGGCCATCGAGCCTCTTCTTATCTTATGTAGAATGCAATTGATAACGCACCTTCGACGGCTGCCCCTTTCCATGCCACCCACAGCCCTACTTTGAAATCTGCTCATATTACGGGCGATGTATACACATTGTCACCGTGCTACTGGCTACAACGCGGTCGTGATACAGAGTGCATAGGAGACACATATGGCATAGAGATACATAAAACATATTTTGAATAAACTATACTTCATCGTCCGTATTCATAAAGAGCGAACTCCTCTATGTTCCTCTGGTAACGCCCCCGGTCCTCCTCCGTGGCTAAGATCGGCGTGAAGTTATCGGGGAGAGTCGTCCACTTGTTGCCTGCAGTCAGTGCTCCATAACAAAGTTGCACGATCCACCCGCTACGAGTGCGCCATGGGTGCCAAGCCCGTTGCGTAGAATGACCGCGCGTTCGCGAAGGTCAAGGCCATCTTCAAGCAATCAGGCGGAGCTGGGCCACCCCGGTCTTGCTCCGCCCTGGCGCTGCGTCACCCCTCCTCCTCCTTACGTTTGGCGCGTTTCGACTCACGGTCATCGCCTTCCCCGTTGTCCGCCGCCTTGCACTTGGTGCTATGGACACGATCATTGTCCTTGTGCCTCCGTGGCGCCTCCCGCTCAGCCGCCTTGTGTTTGCCGCTGCGGTCACGACCATCCTGCAGCACCACCGTCAGCGCTCCACCTTTCCCGACATGCGTGAACTCGAGGCGGGGCCCCCCCTCGCGGTCGTCTGCGTGCGACGACTTGTGCGGCTTCTGGGATGGCCCAGCCCGAGGAGCGGCACGTTCGGGTGTCCGCGTGCGCGGCGTGAGTCTGGGGGATTTGAGAGTCGATTTATGACGCCTATAGGCAGCGGAGGGTGAGTGGTGTACCCGTCGTCGGCGCGAGGGCAAGCGCGATCGCGAACGACGTCGGGGCGGTGAGCGGGAGGGCGATGGAGAGGGACGCCGAGGCGAGCGCGAGCGCGATGGACAGTGAGGTCGAGTCCGAGGTGAGGCAGAGCGAGAAAAGGATGAGCGGGAGCGCCGAGCGCCGGCAGCGGACAGGGAGCGGGAGGCGGGACGGTGTCATGGATTCTTCAATTTGTCCGCTTTTCTGGCCTCCTTCCTCGCTGCTTTCTGCGCTGCCTTCGTGGCCTTCCGCCTCGTCTCCTCCATACGGTGGCTGTACGCGCTGCTCGATTTGACGCAGAGCAGCGCGGCGTTGTCGGGCCCTACCACGAGGGGAATGTCGCGTTGATCGTCTAGTGGCAAGGCCCTTTCCTCTGCGCCAATGTCAGAACTTTTATTTTGGTCAAGATTCCAGCACGTACCGTCCATCCAACGGACAATCTTCATCACCTCATTGTCGAGCTCCATGTCATCGGGATCCCGAGGTCGGTTGGCAATTAACAAATCCGGCATGAACACATCGAAGAGGGGTACCGTGATATCTTTGAGTTTGAAGCCGCCGGTACCGATTATCTGGCCTGCGTCCTTCAGAGCGGCCGGATGGTTGATGAGCCGCACTTGGTTTTCGAAGGCGGCATCGACGAACTTCGTACTCCACTTCATCTGGTACTTCGACGGGTCGACATCGTGGCCCGTGAGTGTCCCATTTGCTTTGCAATAGCCCCCTACCAGTCGTTAGTATCAATAACAGCCGGGACGACGAAGGCAGAACTCACATAGCTGTGAGCCCAGTATCGTCCCCAACTGGCTGCGATATTGGTCTCGTTTCCCGCCACTACCCGCTGCTTCTTCGATGGCTGGCAGCGCCTGAGGTGCAAGCCCCCGCTTCCGCAAGTCGATTGACCTGAAAGAAAATGGTCGTCACGGTGATGTCCAGCGAAAACAAAAGTAAGACGCACCCAAAGATATGCTCTTGGTTTTTGCAGATGTCGGTCAGTGAAATCAGGTGCGTCACCCGCATTTCTTTGAAGTCGTGGCCACTCCCCCACATGAAACTCGCGTCACCCTTGGGGTAGATCACGAAGCCCCACAGCTGAACACCAAAGGTCTTGCGCAGCTTTTCAGCCTAAGTAGAGAGAAAAGATTAGCACCGAAATGGCGAAGTGAAAATGGGATCGCGCACAATTTGGAGAACGGGCACCAATTCTTTCTTAAGCTTCGGCTTGAGCTTACCGTCCTCACGGAACATAAGGACCACTTGCTCTGTGAGGTTGTGATCCCATTCGAGCAACCACGGCAGGCGCTCGAATGACTCCTTGGTGGTTGGGGGCTTTTCATCCTCGAAGTCGGGGTAACCCTCTACATCGTGCAGGGCCTGTAAAAATGCTGCCCGCGACTTGTCGGTATAAGCAGTGCTGCCCACTGCCATTATGGTGTCAGTCCTAAAACTACCACTGTGTAAGAAAACGACTTACGATGTTCGTCGTTGGGATGAGACTCGGAGAACCACCTCTGCCACACGTTCCATGCGGACAGCGCTCGTGGAGTCTTGATGAGGTCCCGAAGTATTTGATGGAGGAGGGTGACGGGCTTGCCAATCTCGCGGGCAATGGCAGCCACGTCCGCCTCGTACTTGTCGTTGAGCTGGGTGAGGTGCTGTCGGATCTCTTCCGAGACGGCGCCCGACTTCGACTTCGACTCGCTATCGTCGCCCTCGCCACCGTCGTCGTCATCTTCATCATCGTCGGCGAGGGGGGAAGCCTTCTTCACCTTCGCCTTCTCTCTCGCCTTCGCCTTTCCTTTCGCTGCACGCCTGGCTGCCGCACCATCATCGTCGTCGCTATTGTCGGTGTCGGTGTCGTGGGGCTTCTTCGCCTTCCCTTTGCCTTTGTCTTTTCCTGTCTCCTTCCCTTTCTCCGCGGTCGTTG